AGATGAATGGGGAATAGGGGTAGGGGGAGGAGTAGAGTGGAGATGGTGAGTAATGGGTAGGAAAAAGTGAGTGAAAAGTGTAGAAAATTGAACTTTAAAGGGAGGGGTAGGTCTGATGGATGTGGGGTTTAAAATTTTTAACGATATTGTGGGTTGCCCATTGTTGGCAGCCCACACTTTTATACTTTTAAAGAAAATTGTGGGCTGCCCAATGTTGGTACCCACAAAACATGAGGCCACAACTTACCTTTGAAGGAGTTGTGGCCCACGTATAGAAGTTCACAAGGCCAAGACCTCACAACGTGGGCATTGTAGCCCATGCTATGGGTTCTTTGTTGGGTTTCAGCCTCCTCTAGTGGGAGCTACAGCCCACCCCTTCTCTTCTCTATTCTTTTTTATTTTGAATTTTTTTATTTTTTTAGGACTTTAAATGTACTTGCACAATAAAAAAATTTATTAGTAAGTAAATAAATAAATAAATAAAAGTAAATAAAGAAAGCAAGTTAGAATGCTTGGGTTGCTTCTTAAGAAGCGTTTGATTTATAGTATTCAACTTGACTTTCTCTCATTCAAATTACTTCGATAAGCGTGATTAAGGATTTTTGACGATCAAAATCACCACCCTAATAGTGCTTTAATCATTGCCTATTCACATTAAAGCTTGATTTATCATCAGCTACCTTTACTGTTACATGAGGATATACTTTTTGACCAACGAGATTTCAGCTTTCCAAGAAATAATCTTAAACGAGAATTATACAAAAGAACATGTTGGCCAAGCTTGAAATTTCCCTTTATGATTTTCTGGTCATGCCATTGTTTTGTCTTCTCCTTGTAGATTCTTGCATTCTCATATGCTTCTTGATAAAATTTTTCCATCTCAAAGTTACGAAAGATGCTTTTCTCCTACTGCTTGAAGGTCAAAATGAAGCTTTTTGATTGCCCAATATGCCTTGTGTTCAAGCTCAATTGGAAGATGACAAGATTTTGCAAACACCAATTTATAAGAAGACATCCCAATTGGAGTTTTATATGTAGTTCTATAAGCCCATAAAGCATTATCCAACTTTTTTGACCAATCTTTTCTAGAAAGACAAACAATCTTTCCCAAAATTCTTTAAATTTCTCTATTTGAAACTTCGGGTTGGCCATTTGTTTAAGGGTGATAAAGTAGTGGCTATTTTGTGCTTGACTCCACCTTTGGCTAAGATTGGCTCAAAATTTTTGTTTCAGAAATGAGACCCTTCATCACTAATTATGGATCTAGGTGTACCAAAATGTGTGAATATGTTTTTTTGCAAGAAGTTTATCACTATCTTAGAGTCCTTCCTTGGCAATGCAACAGCTCTAACCCATTTAGATACAAAATCAATATCAACTAAGATGTATTCGTTATTGAAGGATGCAATGAATAGACCTGTAAAATCAATTCTCCACATATAAAAAATCTCAACTTTAAGGATGTTGTTAAAAGGCATCTTTTTTCTTCTAGATATATTACATAATTTTTGACATTTATTGCATTTTTTAACAAAATTATGAGTATCTTTGAAAAGAAAAGGCCAGTAAAAACTTTATTGTAGAATCTTTGTAGTAGTTCATTTTCCCTTATAATGTTCTCCATAATTAGATGAATGGCAATGATGAAGAATATTTTCAAATTCTTCTTCAGGAACACACTTTTTAATTATTTGATCTCCACAATGCTTATAGAGAAAAAGCTCATCCCACATGTAGTATTTAATATCATTCAAGAATTTCTTCTTTGGTTGAGAATTAAATCTAAGAGGAAAGAGTTTACTCACAAGATAGTTTACAAAATCAGCATACCATGACAAATTTTTCTGGTTTTTACATGAAACAATTGCTCATCAAGAAAGGTCTCATTGATCATTGTTGAATTCCCAACTTGTTCTCCATTCTCTAATCTAGATAAATGAATTGCCACTTAATTTTTTGTACTATTCCTATCTAGAATTTCCAAGTCGAATTCTTGAAGCAAAAGTACCCATTTTATTAAACGTGGTTTTGCATCCTTATTTTTGATTAGATATTTTATAGCTACATGATCTGTGTAAATAATGACTTTAGTACCAATAAGATAGGAGCAAAATTTATCAAAAGCAAAAATAATAGCTAGTAACTCTTTTTGAGTTGTGGTGTAATTTGCTTGAGCATCATTTAATGTTCTGCTGGCATAATAAATAGGATGCAAAATCTTTGCTCTCCGTTGCCTTAAAACTACGCTAATTGCATAATCATTAGCATCACACATTAGTTTAAAAGGAAGATTTCAATTAGGAATAGTGATAATAGGAGCAAAAATTAATGGTTTTTTCAATTCAACAAAAGGATCATGGCAAGCATCATCAAAATTATAACGAGTATCATTTTCTAACAAATTACAAAGTGGTTTAGAAATTTTAGAAAAATCTTTAATGAATCTCCTATAAAATCTAACATGTCCTAAAAAACTGTGAATGCATTTAACAAAGGTAAGAGGTGGAAGTTTTTCAATTGTTTCAATTTTTGATTTGTCTACTTATAAAGCTTTACTAGAGACTCGATGGCCTAAGACTATGCCTTCTTGCACCATAAAGTGACATTTTTCTAAATTTACAACTAAATTAGTTTCCTCGTATCTCTTAACTACTCTAGCAAGATTAAATGGACAACCATCAAAATTATCCCTAAAAATTGAAAATCATCCATAAAAACTTCCAAAAACTTTTCAACCATATCAAAAAAGTTGCCATCATACATTTTTGAAAAGTGGTTAGAGCATTGCAAAGTCCGGAAAGCATTTTACGAAAGGAAAAAGTTCCATAAGGGCAAGTGAAGATGGTTTTTTCTTGGTCTTTACGAGCAATGGCAATTTGATTTTAACCAGAATAACCGCTTGAAAAGTAATAAAAATCCTTAGTTGCTAGTTTATCAAGCACTTGATCAATAAAAGAGAGTGGAAAGTGATCTTTTCTAATGGCTTTGTTCAATTTTCTATAGTCCATACATACCTTCCATCTAGTCACAATTCTAATGGGAATTACCTCATTATTTTCATTAAAAACTACAGTTGGACCTTTTAGCCTTCCTAAAAGGCTTTCTACTAGACTTACCAATAAGATATGGCTTACATGTAGGAAGTTTAACTTTGGCGAGTGAGCCTAATTGTAACACCCTGTGCCCTCGTATAGAAACCAATACGACCTTATCAATGCATCAACCTTCTCCTCGATTGTTATCGACGTTCAAGACTTGCGAGTGAACTCGTCAAATCCCGAATAAGCCTTCATTGAGATTTTGGATAATTAAATCAAAACATTCTATCGCATATGTAATCGACTTGTAATAATAATACCATCGTTTACTAAAACCAAATAAACAGTTGAAGTTAGGGTGTGGCAACTAGTTAACAATATCCAAGTTTAACCGACTTCAAGCAAGTTTCAACATCACACTTAGAATTCATTTCTCAAACTTAAGGTTTTAGCAATACATTACAAATAAACTAATACTTTTTATAAGTCTAGTTGTTTACACAACATTGTAATGACCTCTATGCAATGGAGTGACTTGGAGATGAGTCAAAATATGCTGGGCAGTACACTTAAGCTGATCACTTATTTGTAAAAAAAAATTTACTCAAATCATAAGACTATTTTACTTAAATCAAATTAGTGTAAACACACGCTCCCATAAAATTAAAAATTACTTGAACTTATACACAAGTTCATAAATCATCTCATCCTCGAGGAATTTAAATACAAATCACTGTATAAACAACGGAGTTGTGGAGCAACTTGTAATTCTCACCATGTGTAAGAATTCGTATTTGAAAACCCAAAGAGATATCACTCTGAAGTAGGTAATTGCAACAATCAACTCGTGAACCCGCTTCCACATAATAACAATCCGTGAGGTCCCCCTCCACCAGATTCCCATAGCCATGGCAGTCTCGACAATGTTAGCTGACATCAAAAAAATTAGGTGGTCGTAACCATGTATAACAACTTGTGGCCTAGCCACATATATACATCATAGAACGTGGCCCCAACCACGTCTAACAGCCTGTTAGCGACCCAGAGGTTCTCTAACTAGAGCTCACTTGTGCACAAGGTCACACTATCCTGATATGACATTTGACCTCTTCTTGAATCTCCTGGATTGATAAAACCATTGAAAATCAAGTTGGGTTCTCAAAAGCTTATTTCAAATCCATTTCTAAAATACCATTCATGGTAACATGATAAAACCCCTTTGTTAGACTTTATAATATAAAACCTTTGCATGAGGTTTAAATATCAAATCAGCATGTTGAATATATGTAATTTATTCATGAATGCATATCACACAAACCAATAAGGCACATTTTGACATAAACCATGGTAAAGAGCTTGTTTCCCAATTTCTAAAACTCTTTACGTATGTAGTTAATATATACATATATATAAAACCTTTCTCAAAGCATGGCATTCTCAAGCCTAACATTCTGTCAACTCATGCTGTCCACAAATTCAATATAACTTGATTGCAAATCAATTTAAAAATCGCCTACCAAGGCTAACAACATATGCTGTCCACAAATTGCATTTAAAGCAAACCAGCATGTTTATTAATTGTATATTGATATATATAATATGAAATTTTGAAATAGACACTCCTACTCACCTTACAATAGTTGGACACTACGACGCTATCGATTTGGGTGCGTTTCTAGCTAATTCTACTTGCCGGTCATCCATTACCTCCTTCGGCACACCACCACAACAATTTTCCTTTCTCATACACTTCCTAGCAATAATTCAAATCTAATACACTTAATTGTACTCATATATGGGCAACACATCAATCAATAAATCCTTATCCTAATTTCATAGTTTTCCTCAACATTGTTCACAATCATTTAACATACAATCCACATAATATCAACCAACCAAAGCCAACACAATACAATGTAGTCACATTGCATGCCTACCTCTCGGTTTTCTTTCACTTTGAATCCCTCACATAAGTCACAAACTCCTCACATCCTCGATCACCATTGCTGCCACAAACATAGACAATTAATACACATCTCATTCCTCTTATCTACTTGTGATTTCAAGACTAAAACACTTACCCTTTGCTTATCTAGCTCAAAATCAACATGCATTCCAAGATCCACCTACATGCATGCATCTGGTTCTTGAATCCTTGAAGATTCTTGCTACCACAACCAAAATACCACATTACAATCGGTTTACAAAGCATGCATTCAAACAAAATGACAACCTTTACCTTTCTTACCTTAAAATCTCTAAGCCAAACCTCCACTTTCTCTTTCAAGCTTCAATAATGGCATGCAAGAGAAAACCTTTTGGTTTTCTTCATTCTTCTCCAAAATCGAGCCTTCTTCAAGCCTTTTTCTTCTTTCTCCTTTCTTTTTTCTTCTTTCTCCTTTCTTCCCTCTTTTGCTCTCAAGGCCAATTCTCCTTCTTACCTCTCAAAGCTGCGGTTTTTTTTTTCTCAAGGCAAACTCACGTTATTTGCCTTTGTTTTTCTTTCCCTTGTTTTTCTTTGGTATGGGCAAATTTTCCCAAGTTCCTCCATCAACTCAAATCTCCTTATTTATCCCTTACTTCTCAGTAGACCATTTCATCCCCCACTCAAATTTCATGCACCAATTTCCTCCCTTGTTCAATGGCCCAAAATCTATCCTTACTTTACTTCTCCATCTACCACCTTCACCATCCCATTTTTCCTTTCTTCATTCTTTATTCCATACACCATCTTATTCCTCCAATCACATTTCATGCACAAGCTTCACGTTATATTTTATTTGGTCATTCATTAATCTATTTAAGTCACATGCATCCCACATCTTTCTGTCCTTATTTGGCCACCTAATGCTCCAATCTCATTACATGCAATGAGATTTAGTCTTATTGTTCCTTTTACTTCACATGGTGGGGGTCTCACATGTTCCCCACTAACTTCTCCCTTTTTTTGAATACCCTAATTTGCATGTAATAGTGAATTCACATGCACATCTCATATCTCACATAATTTGGCTTTCCTTGATTAGTTAATTTTTTCCTTATATACCATTTAACCCTTTAACTTTTCATCCTTTACAATTTGGTCCTTCCAACATTTCTTCAATTCCAATTTTCTTCTATTTCCTTCATTTACACTTGTACAAGTAAAATATAAAATTTGCACCTCATCAAGGTGCCACATAATATTTAAATATATACTTACCTGTTCTTACTTTATTTAATAAAGGCACGCGAGCCGAACTAATGCTGTTTTTTCCTTCAAAATTCTTTCTTACTTCTTTTCTCCCACTTAGATTAGTCATAAAATCCTTCTTCATGACTAATTTTGACAATAGATAAAATATTAATATTTTAGTATTAATTTATTAAAAAAATATTAATTTATTTTAAAATATTCTTTTCACCCGTCACTGCTCTTTAGCATTTAAATTTATGTCAATTGACCTTTCGTCTTATAGACTAGGTCTTATTGGCTTCTATACGAGAGTACGGAGTGTTACAATCGATAAGATGAGGGTCAATTGAAACTAAATTAAGTGCAAAAGAGTGGAGAGGGGTGGAGGTTACATCTTGGAATAAAATATTTCGTATGAGAGAAAATAATAATAAAATAATAATATTTTATTGAAGATGAATTAATGAGTTAAAACGATGATTTGAAAGTAAATCGGGACAAAGTGAGACACTTTGGGACTCGAGGAGACAAGTGAAGAATTTTAGAATAAAATAATATTAAAATATTAATATTTTATCTATTGTTGAAATTAGTTACGAAGGAAGACTATATGACTAATCTAAGTGGGGGAGAAGAAGTAAGAAAGAATTTTGAAGAAAAATGATGTAAGTAGGGCGCACATGCTTTTATTAAATAAAGCAAGAGATGGTAAGTATATATTTAAATATTATGGTGATACCTTGGTGAAGTTTCAATTTGATATTTTATCTGTACAAGTGTAAAAGAAGAAAAATAGAAGAAAATTTGAATGAAAGAAATGATTGAAGGACCAAATTGAAAAAGATGAAAAGTTTAAAGGGTCAAATGGTAAATGAGAAAAAATTCGAGGACTTATGTGCAATTTCAAAATTTAAAGTTAAATGGAAATTGAGTAGCCAAGGAAAATTAGATTATGTGGGAGGATGGAATATGCATGTAACAAATGTAGAACCCCCACCATGTGACAAACAAAAAGGCATGAGATAAAATGGATAAAATAACACATGCATGTGGATTTTTAAGTTAAAAGAATGCATAGAGGATTTATGCATGATGGACACTTGGTGGCAATTAGACTAAAAGAAAAGAAAATATAGTTGCATGTAATGTCATTGGCCAAGGAGGAGGCCAAATGGAAATTAAGGTTGAAAAGTTGCATGAAACACCATTGGGTACAAATAAGGTGGAATTAAGTGGGAATAAATAAAAGAATGGATATAGATAAGTCAAGGATGATTTTTAACCAATGTGGAAGAAAGGAAATTGGTGCATGAAAACTCATTGGTTGGCAAAATGGCCAAATGAAAATAAAAGATGAATATGTGCATGTATTGTGATTGGTTAAATGGGTGGCCATATAAATACCAAGATTCAAGAGTAAAACAGAAAAGGGAATTGGCCCAAGTGAGACTTGAGAGAGTCGGCCATTAAGAGAGCAAAAGGAAAAAAGAAGAAGTTGTTTTGAGAAGCTCCACCTAAGAGGAAGAAAAGCAAAAAAAAAAAAAGAGAGGAAAGTGGGGAAGGTTCGGGTTGTGAGGATTCAAGAGAAACCATAAGGTTTCCTTCCTTTATCTTGTAGAGATTTGATATTTTACCACCCAAAGAGTTTTTAACGTTCAAGAAAGAAATCATGGAGTGTTGATGGAGGTGTAAAGCTTGGTTTCAAGATACAAGAGAAACAAGGTAAGGATTGTGGTTTTAGCTTGAATGTTCTTGTTAAACCATAATTGGCATATGTCTACCCAAATTGCAAATTAGATCATGTAAGTGACATGAACATACACTATTCAAACCTTAGTCCAATCAAAATCTCTCTGTTGAGTCTTCAATTAGATTCAAAAAATCAATTAATTGTTGTCTAGAAATCGAAAGCATTAAAACAAAATTGAAAAGCAAAACTACACCCATTCATGATAAATAAAAGAGAACTAATATCCAAATACATGTTGAAATTTACCACAATCCTAAAAAGATAATTTAGCTCATAATAACTAATTAAAAACAACATCCAAAGAAATTTAGCCATG